ACAAAGACGAGCCCAACTAAATGTCGCGATGAGAAACTGAAATGTCGCGATGAAAAACAAATAATGGACACTTAAAGTGTGATTTCAAAAGATGGATTTGCAAAAAAACCTTATTTGTTTCTCTACTAAAAAGTGGGAAGAGGAAATTTTAAGATAATCAAATTTCCCTAGGAGATAGATTTCCCCTATAAAAAATTATAGAAAACGCCGCTTTTGTAGAAACAAGGATCGCAACTCTTTATTTCAAAAGAATTTTTCATCTCAAAATTTATTGGGTAAATTTTAAGAAAAACTAAAAAGTTTCCATACAACGGTCGAAAGTTCTGAAAAAAAGCTTACCAAAATCCAAAACTTTTCTGCCGAGAATCATAGCTTTTTGAGTTAAATAAAGTAGAAAAATTATGCAGAAGGAAATCACGCAACACGCAACTGTTATTTCAATTTGAAACGAAATCTCAGATTCGTGCGGTTAGTTTCGGAGAACAGTCAAAAACTTTCTCAAAACTGTCAAAAAATCAAACATTTGACTTTCAGAGGGCGATGACTTTTTTTGGTAACTTTTTTGTTTCTTTTCACTAATGCAGACGAGCTACCCACAAGCCATTATCTCAATGAAACCACAATATCAGATTTAAACGGTTGTTTTTGAGGAAAGTCGAAAAGATTCGCAAAACGGTCAAAAATCAAAATTTTGATTATTCCGAGGGCCCTAACTTTATGTGCAAAAAAAATCGGTCATACCCACTTATGCAGGGGAGCTTTTCAAAACAGTTCAATTCATTGTCACCAAAAACTCACAATTGAGAGAAGTAAGTTTCGAGATAACAAAAAAAACATGGGCAAAAAATTACCCCACACACTTTTCCGGAGGCTGTAGACAAAGGGCTCAGGTAAAAAAAAATTCTAAAAAATTCTGGGAAGTATGCAGGCGCAAAGAGAAAAAAACGGTTTCTCTATCGATAACTAAATCTTCGAAATTTTTCGAAAAACAGGCTAAGTTGCAAAAAAAATTAATAATTCTCCGGATAATTAAAAATCAGGATAAGTTGAAAAAAAATTAAAAACTCTCCGAAACGGAAAAAAATGGAAATTCATCAACCAACTTGAAAAAGCAAAAAGGAGAACTAAAATTGTTTTTTTAATCGAAAAGGCCCAAAGTTAGGTCGTTAGGCCAATAAAAAAAGGCCGATATAATTTTTGCCGAGTAATTACTTTAAGCGAAACAAAAAAAGAAGGAAAAACGAAGTCAAGTTGAGAAAAATTACATAATATAGGCGTACATCCAAGACTAATTAAAAAAATGAAAAAGCGCAGGAAAACACGAGCACGTGCATTAAGACAATTCAGCCAACAACAGGTAAGCAGACAAATAATTGGCCGACAATTTTATTTGAAGCAGAATATTTCAAGTTAAAAAAAACAGGTCCTGGTCAGATGCGAACTTTGACGTCCCAGGCATATTTGTTACCTCTAGACTAAATTTGCCGGGAACGCCGCTACAAAACTTGAACATAATATGAAACAGGGTAGATATGCGTCCAGAAGATTCCTGTGTACAAAGTTGTTTACGGAAAAAGTCTAATACCCGTTTGCATTACCCTTGCTTATCGCAGAGGTAATTATTAGACTAAATTATTGCACTTGATTAAAACTGTCTATCCTCTTCAAACTTTGCCTGAAATCATCAAAGGTTAAGCTCGATTACTTAAGTCATTATTACTATAAAAATTTAATTGTCATCAAATTAAAAGTCTCGCGACAAACTATATCCGGAGAAAAAGAAACGATTAAACATTATACAATTGTTTGAGCACGTTTGAGAAAACAATTTATGCATTTTTCGGGAAGCAAACTGTTGAGTATTTTGACAACTTTCAAGCTCGAAGAAATTATTTCGGAAAACTTTGTTTCATTAAGAAATGAGCCTAAATTTACCATTTCTACTTTTAACCATTTTGTGGACCAAGTTTTTAGGGGAAAAAATCCAGAACCATAATGCTCATCGCAAGGGAAATTATTGACAGTAACGGAAAAAAACATTTCATTTCTGACGCTGCGACCACCATGAATCGCCACACCGACAACATGAATCCCAAGACACTAATGATGAAGCCATTGTTCAAAATAACCCAGTTATAATTCTGAACCATCTTGCCTGATTTCTTTTCCTGTGGAACCAACTGATTCACAAGGCTAATAGTTTTGATGTTTCCTCATCAATCGAAAACAAACTTGTTTCAAGCAAACGTTTTCAGCAGAATAGCAAAGAAGAAAGGTTATACATTTCATTGACAATATTTCCGAGTTCTTTGAGTTGTTAAACTGAGAACATCCTTTTTCTTTTTTTGTTCTGTTCAAAAAATCTTCGAACGTTGTTTTTAAATTTTTTAAACAAAATTCAGATCCACATCACTTCTTTAGCGTTTTCGAATGATTAGTTATTTGATTCTGCATTTCGCATAAGTTTTTCAAGTTTTGTATCAACTCATCTTCTCTTTGTCTTTTTTCACATTTGAAGAATTTTGATTTCTGTAGCTCAACTTTAAACTCAACTTTAGAGCTACTAAAATTTTGGAAAAGATAATTTTCAGATAACTCTGGAAAAGATAATTTTCAGATAATTTTCCGATATCTCCAAATATACTTATTTCTGACGTCAGAAAGTCTATTCCGAGAGAAAACACGAAAAAAAATTGATGTACTTAATTGAATTTGTTAATCATTATAAAACTTTGGTAAAATGATCTAGAAGATACTGCTCGATTATCTCCCACAAGTGAAGATATTGGCGTCAAAAAATTTTTAAATAGCACAATTTTTTTATTGTTACGAAGATAAAAAGTAACCGAACAAGTTTCAACCAGGGGAAAAAGGAAATGATTAAGCAGTATTAATTTTAGTGAGCAAAAAGAAAAGCTTGAACGGGATGAAACTTTTAATTGGAACCAGTCAGCGACTCAACTTTTCCGGTTTGCTACATTGATTAACTCCGACTACACTACTGATGATTATTAACATAAGATATATGAACACAGAGGCGAAGCTGAGTTTCGCACCACTTGCGAAACAAATAACCAATAGAACAAAACGCTCAGATTTTTTTTGAAATCAAGATCCAGAAGTTATTAGATAAACACAAAATTTTGTCACAATCTTGCACATCGTAAGGAGAAAATTTGCTGAAAACATCAACAGCAAAATTTGATATAAACTATGATCAAATTGAGAGTAAGAACTTGAAAAAAAAAACAACAATGAATGCTGATGTTTCAAACAACTTTCATGAAAAAACCTGAGTAAAAGCTGAAAAGATGCTCAAAATTAATTTTAAAAATAAGCAAATTACAGCAAGCTTATCAATTAAGAATAAATACGCAAGGTAAAGCGAGCTGGATCACAACAAAAAAAATAAAAATACAACAAAAAAACGTGAAGGAAATAAAAACAAAAACCCAATTTTCTCAAAAACTCAGCCAATAAACCACAACCCTGAAACTCGTGCAAAACTTGCCATTTATCTTCGTAGACAGTCGAAAGTAAAAGTGAACAATACCATCTACCAATGGTATTGGGAATATGTTTTTCTGAAAATAAGGTCGTCAGACACATAAAACATATGCCGAAATCATTTGGGCAGAATAAAGTTTTTAAGCGAAAAAAAAGAGAAAATATACGACGTCAAGGTTACTAAAATTACAAACAGGAGAAGTAAAACATAACTACATCAACTATACAGTAAGTTGCATACAGCAAAACAATTCAGACTATTTGGCAAGTCAGCAGACAAAACATTCAGTAGATTAGTGAGCCGACATTTTGGACGACGTGATTTTGGAGCAAGCTTATTTGGACGACGTGTCTTTGGGCGGACATTGGGAAGTGGTTCTCGAAGATCTCTCAAAGCTGACGGGCCAAGCGAAAAGAATTGGCATCAAATTGAATGCGTCAAAATGTGAGCTGACTGTCATCGGGCAGAACTTCAACGAAATATTCAGCCGGTTCTCAAATGTGTGCCCTGGAATCAAACTCATTGCAGCCGAAGATGCAACACTGCTAGGATTCACCCTTAGCACGTCTGCATCACCATCTGTTTTGACAGAAAAGAGCAACATTATCAAAGAGCTCTGCAAAACACCAGACTTAGTCCAGCGGTACACGGCCTTTTTCCTGCTTAAAAACTGTTTCTCGGCGCCCAAACTAATGTACATCCTGTGCACCGCCCCTACATTCTCTGCACCAGATATCATTTCAGTGATTAACTCGTAATTGAGATCCTCAGCGGAGCGCATCCTAGATGTAGCCATGGATGAGATAACATGGGCACAAATGTCTCTGCCTGTCAAAATGGGTGGCTTTGATCTTCAAAACACGATTGACCTCTCCAGCTCTGCCTATCTATCCTCAGTCAAGGCCAACAGTGCGATGGTCGGCCGACTCCTTAATGACCATGCATATGAGCTCCCGATGGATACGGCACCAGCAAAATGGATAGAGCGATCGCATGCTATGCGCAAGACACGCAGACCTCCAAACAGAAGTCATGGATGGAACCGATCCATCGCCATACTAAAATGCGCCTTCTCCAACGAACCAGAGATACTGAGTTGACCAGGTACAAGGGCGTCAGCTGCACTGGTTCAGGTGACTGGCTGAATGCACTGCCCTCTTCAAACGTGGGTCTTGAGATGTCTGATGACTGCTTCCGGATCTCAACATGTCTGCGTTTGGGTGCCACCGAATGCTTTTGCATTTGCGGCGCCACCAACGACAAGTTTGGGAACCATGCACTCGCCTGTCCCAACATGAGAAGCAGACACACTCGCCACCAGACTCGGCACTACTCATTTTTATTTAATTAGTCTAGTACCCCATTGCAATACTCTTGCTGATCGCAAGGGTGATTAATTACGCTAACGAAAAAAAAAACGTTGCGTGCGCAATGAATTGCATCACGGCATGAATCCGAAGATTATAATGATGAAACCGTTGTTGAAAATTACCTTAGGATATTTCAGAACCATCTTGCCTGATTTCTTTTCCTGTGGAACCAACTGAGCCTTTAAGGCCAAAAGTTTCGCTGTTTCCTCATCAATCTAAATAAATATTGATTGAGAGCAAACACCATCAATGACCTGAGCATCGAGCGCAGTGAAAGACGCCAACCTGAAGCAGGCGACTACCACATAAACATCTACTGAGGTAATTCAGTTCTCTTTTAAAGCAAATAAATCCTTTCATGTTAGGATCTGAAAAACAGCGTGAATTACCTGCGCCTGATCGGCTTTCGATTTTTTCACGTTTCCTACTAAATTTGCCTTCTTGGAAACATCTTCCTGTGAAGGACATGGATTATATGCTGGCCCATCATTCATTTTCTAAAACCAAAATAGCAAGGAAATATGACAGAATGACAAAAGTCCAATTCTTAACTACAAAAATTCTTTTTTCATTTTTATCTTAACTTATTTCGGAATAATCAGAAGGTCAAAAGTATCATAGAAACCGAGGTGACAGTCAGGAGTGCCTTCATCGCGTATTCGAGCCAAAATCCTTGGTGTTTTCTAGATATGGAAGTGATTGATAATGATAAAAGAAGACGACAAGTGTTGAAGTCCTTTTCAATTAAAATCGATACGGGTTACATACATTGTATTGAATTAACGCATCAAAATAGATATCGTCAATAGAGTCAGATTAAGGATTTCTGTCAGTCGATTTTTGTCAGTCCTTCGGTCGACTACGCAGTTTCTCCGTATGTGTCAGCTTTTTTGTCGCAGATTCTGCATTCACATATCGATTCTGTCCTGTAGCAGTTAATGGATTTGCATATTTTATGATGGAGTCCGGTTGAGTAGTACCATGCTATGGCTCTTCTTGCTTCTTTAGCTTTGTGCACGTCGAGGAAGTCGTGGTTGAACAGATGTTCCAGCAGTCGTGTTGTTGACGTATATTTTGAGATCCTGGCCCACCTTTTCCAAAAGTAACCAATGACCGATTTTAAGAAATCGGGTTCTTTTATGAAAAGTGATAAACCATATGTAGCAAATGGCAAGATAACAGTGTGCAACAGTGTCTCAGCAGTCGTAAAATTGATAATTTGTAAATCGAATTTGGCGGCTAGATGATTTATGTGTTGGATTCCTTTTTCTTTCCGGATTTAATGATGAGAGGTTGCAACATTCTGTGTGCTTGTAACATTCGCCCAAATACTACACAGTGACGGAGCGTAGAAAAAGCACCTATTAACGACTGGCAGGCGTCAGTTACCTTAATTATACTCGTTTTTCACTGTCTCGACCTAGCCAGATGATTTTCTGGTATGTTTAGGGCTAAGTAAAAAGTTACTATTTTCAGGTGTAACATTCGCCCGGAAGATACATATCGACGGATAACAAAACTAAGTCTTAAGACGACTGGCTAGCGTCTAAACAGAGCGTTGCATGTTTTTCACCGTCTCTACCAAGCCAGTACTTTTCGGTGGTCTTTTCCAACATCGGGTCGACAAAAACGTTACTGTTCTCCGGCTTCGACCAGAACGCTCAAATTAACTGAATTACATGCAACAATAGTGAGCTCATGGCTGGGTCTCAATATCCCCAGACCACGAGGTCACTCCTAAAAACAGGGCTACTACTTATTATGTTACTATTTGTGCCAGTCGGTCATGTCTGGGGGTTTGACCTTGAGAAATACGCAATTTTGGAGTGAAATTTTAATTTTGCAAAATTCGAATTGAGCATGTCATGCTCAATTTTCTCGAACCAACTGAAAATGAAAAAGTCAGAAATCAGAACACCCGAATTAACAATTGCGGGAAACTACTCAAGAAAAAGGCAGGAAATTGCTGTTCGCAATTTCTCGATACGAAATATCAAGAGAGTAGAGCTGTCTTATCCCGAAAACAGGAGAAAACAACATTGACTTGAGGAAGGATCACTATTCGAATGGAATAGTGTGGACCTTCAACGGAATAGAGGACTACTCGAGTGTCCTAATGGTCCAAACGAAAACTTCAATTCTTGAGACAGAACTTACTTTCGTTATTGAAACTAATTGGCCTTAAAACTTATTTAGTTATATTAGTTAATTCTCAAGCTGCTCAGTTATAACTTACTCCTCATACTCAAGTGCGTCGATATGTAAGTTCCAATTTAAATTTCTCGAGTGCATTTTATGATAGTTATGTTGAGATAAGGCGAGTTTTAGGTTGATCCATCTGAAATGGATCAAAGTTCCACTGTCCAATAAAAAGTAACTAAGCGGATTGTTCCGACCCGGTTTTTAACGGCGTTCATGTATTTTGGGTATCCCGAGACCTAAGTATGGGGACGTTTTTGTTTCTAGAGTGGGGGGGTATTTTGGTAGTGGCCTTTAAGCTGTAATGGGTTCCAGTCTCATGTCGCAAGCGAACCGAATTGGCTCCGACCGTTCTTGAGGCGGAAAAACACAAGAGATAGTGTCCCTGACTCTTGAGCCAATGGTTATAGGGCCTATTTTTCTTAAGCCTCATATGTGACTAAAGTAGGCGACTGTTACATAGTGTTTTTATGGCGCTCCTGGGTGTTTTTACGACATCATGACTACGGAGTCGAACCCACTTGACACAGCTCCGGGCTACATGCCCATTCTAGAGTACCGGTGGTACGGTTCAGCGGGAACGTGTAAACCTTCCGGTTGTACCGTGATAGCTTTTTAAGAAAACTCAAGAAAACTTCCTGGTACGCTCTCCGAACGAGGCTTAGCTAACCGAGTAAAGGGGGGCAACTAGGGGGACAAAAACACGAGCAAAAAAGGAAAACAAATAGGAACAAAAACTATAAAACAAAAAAAAAGACAGTGACTTTGATACCAAATTAGTTGGATCGAACCTTTGTATTAATTAAATAGTATACACATACTGTTTGACAAGACCGATCGTTTCGATCAATCTAGCAATTTAAACCAGTGACCTTGGTAGGGTGCCCGAGTGGGGGCGTTGTTAAGGGTTTTTAGATAGATTGCGACCCAACCGGACCACTAGGAGACTTGACTGGAAAGGGTGACCAGTCGAGTGGGAAAGAGGTTCACAAGGATCGAAACGGACCACCAGGAGACTTGATTGGAAGAGGTGACCAGTCGAGTGGGAAAGTGGGTCTGCTGTCAAGGGCAGAACAGAGACAACCAGCACAGGGCCACTACAAGAGGACGCACAGGGGTGTTCTCAAGTCGGACAACGGGTATCGTTAGAATCCACATTACATTATAGGAAATAAGTGTAAAATTGGATAAGCGGAGTCCCATTGTTTTGAAACAGTTTTTACTCAAGCAGACCTGGAAACAGGTCTACGGTTTTCTCAAGAGAGGTTTAGCACCCGGCGCTTAAGGGATTTTTCGGCTTAAGAGGGGGGCTAAACAGGGGGGAGGTTAGCAGGGGGGCTGGTTAGGTTAGAGGTTGGCGGTTGTAAATTGTAAAAAGGGGGGAATTAGAGTAACTAGTTAATCGACATCGTTGATTTAGTTACATTAGCCATCAACACGCGTGGTAACAATAGGTGGACATCCAAAACTTATCTCGAGTTAAGATTGGTACGCTGGTTGGATCGGTAGGGGGGAACGGATATAGACAGTTTTCGTGACACCTCATAAGACAACTAGTGGGGGGAGGAAAACGCGTGGCAATTAGGTACCAGACATTTTTTTTTGAAAGAAGGTTGACATTTGTCTCCTTTGAATTTTAGGTGGGTCGATTACTCTGTTTTGTTATTTTTTCGGTACAGAATTTTATTTTTTCTATAGACATTGTTGCGTTTTGGGGAAGATTTGCGATTGGTTTTTAATACAAACAGGTGATCACAAGATACCTGCACACAAGTTGTGGCTCCCAATCGCTGGGAACATTCAAAAAGAGGTAACTAATAAAGGGGGGGCCAGATTTGGCAACCAAGAGAGGGTTTTTGGGAAAATTTTCACTAGAGCTTGAGTGGTGGTACAAGGTACAGACAACCAAGGAGTCCCTACAACGAAGAAGAAAGAAATCCTATATCCAGACACTCAGTAACGAGTCTTGGGACAGTACCGAACTAGTCTAGGGACATTGCAGTCTGGGGACAGTCTTGGAGCAACACAGCCTTGGGACAGGGCAACTTTGGGGCAGTCTTGGACCAGAGCAGTCTTGGTACGAAGCGGTCTTGGGACATTGGTCTTGGGACATTGGTCTTGGGACGTTAGTCTTGGGACATTAGTCTTGGGCCATTGGTCTTGGGACATTGGTCTTGGGACATTGGTCTTGGGACGTTAGTCTTGGGACATTAGTCTTGGGCCATTGGTCTTGGGACGTTAGTCTTGGGACATTGGTCTTGGGCTATTGGTCTTGGGACGTTAGTCTTGGGACGTTGGTCTTGGGCCATTAGTCTTGGGACGTTGGTCTTGGGCCATTGGTCTTGGGACATTAGTCTTGGGCCATTGGTCTTGGGACGTTAGTCTTGGGACGTTGGTCTTGGGCCATTGGTCTTGGGACATTAGTCTTGGGCCATTGGTCTTGGGACGTTAGTCTTGGGACATTAGTCTTGGGCCATTGGTCTTGGGACGTTAGTCTTGGGACATTGGTCTTGGGCTATTGGTCTTGGGACGTTAGTCTTGGGACATTGGTCTTGGGACGTTAGTCTTGGGACGTTGGTCTTGGGACGTTAGCCTTGGGCCATTGGTCTTGGGACGCTGGTCTAAAGGTACCAACGAGAAGTACTGGGACAACGCTGAACGGTCTTGGGACGGTAAAGAGAAAGTCTTGGAACAGCATTAGGAAGGGGGTACTACAAAAGTAATAGGTTAGGTTGAAGCACCAAGTATAACAACACGTTCCCTATCCTAACCTAACACGAAAAGAGCTTACAAGAGTTCAAGAAAAATTGTTTTTAGCGAATTATTAATTTCTTTTTCCTTGGAGTTTTTAAACCTTAGAATAGAATTTTTGTAGATAATAATATTGTAAATAATAACAATTGTAAATAATGAGGCGGAGCAGGGTACCGGTAGCTGAAAAAAGATCGACCGAAGCAAGGTATAATTCGTCGCTACACAAAGCAACACCAATGGGTCCGAAGATAACAAAGAAGAACTTTTCAGTTAACATGGTCAGCACAAGGAGTACAGCGGAGAACAGGGCGAAAGAGGGCACGGAAGGGGAGAGAGTAGAACCCACCATCGAGATTGATCTAGAGACACCCGATCAAAGTGTGGATGAAACAGGGAAGATGGCGACAGAGTCAACTCCAATGCCCAATACAGAGGAACCGAACCAGAAACCCATAGAGTTCTCACCGATAGATGACGCGGAAGATGCAATAGGCAACATCGAAGAAACGGTGAAAGAAGACTCTCAAGTAAAGAGGACATCTTTTAC